TCACAGGAGTCATCTGACCTGCTGGCCATCTCACCTACTGATAGATCTTAATTCATCTGACCCATGGACTTGAGACTTGCCCACCTCTACAATTCCTTCCTTCCAGACCTTAATGATTTACTGCATCGCAGCAGATGATAGGCTTTTTGGCAGGAAACACAATTACATAGCCTGAGGTTGAGCTACTCCATACCTTGACTTTCTGGAAACTTTCACCACTTCTAGACACGGATGAAGTATGGGCTCTGACTTCCAAAGTGATTTTGAGTGACACAGCATGAAGGCTGTAAAGCTAAGATGGTGGATAAGGTAGACATACAGTGAGGAACTCTGTCACCAACAACATAGACTATCGGACCAAGCAGGATCAGGAGATGGTGCTAGAACTCTGAACCACGCATAAAGGAATATTTAGAAGATTGGAAGGTTTACAGCTAGGGGAATTTGTAGCAAAATCAAGAAATCCATTGCTTTCTAATTCAAGATATTCTGCTACTCCCGGAGCTGCCATCTTGAGAGAGATCAAGTGGGGGAAGGATCAAAACAGCCACGAACACTTGACAGAACTGCGGAGATACAGGTGTGGACATTCTTTTCTTGATATCTGTTCATTGGTTTCCCACTATCTGCACGCCTCCATTCTGGTGACTAGAGGGGATGCATGAGTGAATGGACACCCCACCCCACCCCTGGAGGGTTCTACTATGCATGCACACAGATCTCCTCGAAATTTAAAGTGACAGTTTCCACTTAAAACCCAAATGGCCACCACTCATCTGTCAGTTTGTCATACTGTGGTGGCTTGTGAGTTGCTGTAATTCTTGAATCTATGCCACTGCTATTTTAAATACCAGCAGGGTCACCCATGGTGAACAGGTTTCAGATGAGCTTCCAGAAGAAGACAGACTAGGAAGGAGTGACAAACTACTTCCAAATATTTAGTCACTGAAAACTTGATGAATAGCAGAGAAACACAGTCAGATATAGTGCCAGAAAATGAGCCCGTCAGGTTGGAAGGCATTCAAAATGTGACTGGGGAAAGAGCTTCCTCAAAGTAGAGTTGACCGTGATAACGCGAATGGAGAAAAGCTTGTGGGAGAAAAGCCTGCGGGGCCTTTATTTGCTGATGGGGCACAACTCAAAATGAAGAGAAAAAGCTGTAAACATCCACTGAAAATCAGAACATGGAATGTATGAAGTATGAATCTGAGAAAATTGAAAGTTGTCAAAAATGAAATGGAACGCATAAACATCTATATCTTAGGCATTAGGGAGCTGAAATGGACTGGTATTGGCCATTTGGAATCTGACAACCACATGGTTTACTATGCCAGGAATGACAAATTGAAGAGAAATGGTATTGCATTTGTCGTCAAAAGGAACATATCCAGATCAGTCATGAGGTACAACACTGTCTGTGATAGGATAATATCCATGC